TTCCTTTATAAGTGCCTAAATGCTCAAATGTAAAACACTTGCTTAGCACAATGTTGTACAATGCCAATTAATATTGTGAAACAAATGTGTGATACATACTTAATATCTCGTATAGTTTTTTCTATTATGTGCTTTTTAACCTAAAACTTTATGTAGGCATGTCGGATGATCTAAGAAGATGGAGATCCAATTGTAAAGTAGGAGAATGATTTGAAAAACCCAAGTCCAACTTTGTGCATAAATCTTGGTCTGGGTGTGGGCTCCAAAAATTCCGCCTCGGCCTCCCACGCTGCTTTTCTTCGGGAGAGATTTAACGGATTAAGTTCCAGGATAAATTTTGGAAGGCATATGTGTTTGTAGATAAGACACTACCCAGATATTTCGCCCTCATTTTACGAGGACTTTATAATCTGAGTTCTGGTTTCTTATAGGCACAAGCCCCTATTGTTAATTACCCCTCCCGGTCACGAGAGAGAACTTTCGATTAATGCTAGTCATCGATCACATACGCGGTATAGTAGCAACATGGGCTTGGGAATTGAAATTTTGATATTTAAAATTTAAAATTTCACCTTCTTGCAATTAAAGCGGATGGTGGGGGGAGTGATGATGAACTCGATCATGATCTCATGGTTTCGTCGTCCCGAACCATCGTGGTCCCTAGTCTACTTAGTCAGAGTAGGTAATCGACCCAACCTGACAGAAGGATTTTTGTCGGCAATCATGGGTTGTTTCATCCAAGAGTACCTTCTAGACATATTATGGATATTTGTTTAAGGGGACAAATTTGAATCCACCATAACTAACAGATGGTTTTGTGCCCTATCGATTGTATCATATTTATTCATATCTCAAAGATTTGATTTCACTAAGAAACGTATTGACTCTGGTCATAACCGTAATTTAGTGGAGTCATCTGGCAGCAAAACCACTACGTTCATAGGGCCCCGGGTCATAACCGTTTATCCTGCGATGTCATTTGGCAGCAAAACCGCCGGTCAGATGACATGTACCACATCCTTACTAACAGGAGATTATTTGATAATGGATCGTAATGATATTTTTGACTAGGCATTAGCTCTCTGTAAACTAAAGTAAATATCAATTTGTCCACATAAACAAATTATGGCGAAGAGTTAATGGATTTTACTTTAAGCAATGATGGGTAATTTCAGTGTTAAACATCTTTGTATTTTTTGGATTTTGGATTTTTTGAGTTTTGTAGGCTTTTGGGAGGTATTTGAAATATTTGAAATTGATCTCTCTAGTTGAGATCTAAGTTCAACACGATCATCATCAAGGTGTTTGAGATTATTTTCATTTGTAGATTAAACTTTGTCGACTCTATCAACTTGCAGACAGAGGATCGGGTCCACAGGCTTTATGTTTTTGTTGGTGGATTACTTTTGTCATAGACCTTAAAGGTCTTATATGAACATATAAAACATATATTTTGGTCGACACCTTGATCGTATAACTCTTTGATAGTTCGATCCATATCGACTCATATCTATCCAAATAGAAGGATCGGGTTTGAACTGTGGTTCATTTATTGACCCGTGCAATATCCCTAAGTGTCACATATGTACATGTAACATGCTAGTCGGACCCTATACGGGTGTTTGAGAGCAATTTATAATTGTTTGTTGAACCTTGTCAACTTTTATTTACCTATTTAGGAGGTCATGTTCAAATTTATTGACTCGCGCAGCATCCTGAGACGTCACGTGTGTTCATATAACACGCTCGTAGAGGCCCATGCGGGTCATGTGATTACACATGCATTTTTGTGTACTTATGTAAATATATATTACAGTGCATGTGCGGGGGCATTTTAAGATGTTTGCATGCAATGTAAAGGGGTGTCCGACTACATAGATGGCTATTATTGTCGAAAGTGCGGGATCTTATTCTAGGCTTTGTCGACGCCTTCTGTCTACTTGTACGAAGTTTGCAGATTCGGCGATGTGGTGTTGACCTTTAATAGCTCGTGGTCTTTTACTAGCAATCCCCTGCTTTTTCTTATGATGAATCGTAGCATTGTCATCCGTCATTCATGAGGCACCTCATTGTTCTAATGTTGACTCCATTTTCTCATTTACCAGGAGATTTTTTTAAGGCTCGTATATGAATCAATAAGCAGCTCTTCCATTATGTCATTATCATCATTTTTTGTTGTTGGCTTAAATAAAGAATCAATCATTTCAACCATAAATGATTGCATTCTTACTGATGCCCTATACTTTGAAATCAATTACTGCTTTCTTGAAATAATCCTTTTTAGGATCTACAGTATTGTGGATTTCCATAAGATGTAGCCTTCATAGTTAGGTAGATGGCCTCTAAGAAAAGTCGAGGTATCTGGGTGTTCTTATCGTTCTTGACTTCTTTAATAAGAACAATATTCTAATAGTCATGGAGGTATAAAAGGAATTTACATTTTCTTGAAGGAACTTTGAAACACCAGGAAGTTTAGTTCAAATTTGCTCAAACATCTCTTCCATTCTTACAAGAGGTGTCATTCTCATCGGAGGATTCTGTCGAAGAAATCAGTAGGTACTTGTATTCCTTGGTTGAATAGCTTCGGTAAAGGCAGTACTGTAGCACTATCAATGTACATGATATATTGTGTTGCAATGTCAAACTTTGAAGATCATTTGCACTTCCAAGGCCTATAGATGACATATATGTTTTCTATCAAACAAAAGGCAAAGAAGAAACTTTTGAACACCAGAAAGTTTAGTTCGAATTTGCTCAAACATCTATTCCATTGTTATAGGAAGAAGGGTGCCCTCCTCATACAAGAGTTCTCTTCGAGGAGTCAACAGATGCTCGTATTTGTCATATGTTCTTGTATACATTTGTGTTACCAGGGGTCTTCCACAATGTACCCACGGTTTTTATCCACAAATGGATCGTGTTTATTACAGAGACTGATCATTTTTACTCTTATCACCTGAAAGTGTTTGTAGAAGTGCCATTATTCCTGCATCATATCCATCTTTCACCAATCTCAGGTGGTATTTGTGCACTTTCTGCAATAAAATTAGTTACATACATGTTGTTGGTATCAACTTCAATACATTACTATACTCAACGCCTGCTCCCTTTATGTGATTTGTTACATGCATGATAGATTTTTCATTATTAATTTCAGATGCCTCCATTTCAATCTACAGGAGAACTGCTATTTGCATAACAAATCGTCTTTCATCAATTTCCAGTGTTTTTCCATCTTGATCTATAGGAAGTTGCTTGTGTTGGGGATACGTGTAGGAGGCACACATTTATTTAGCATCTAACGATTGTTATTTGCAAGTACAGCGCATTCAACCTCATAAGGACTGTTATAAGAGTCCACTGCATCTATCAACATCATTTGTTGTGTACTGTGTATTCAGGTATTGATGATTGATCCCCGTTTGTCATTATTCAGATACTGTTAATTGAGTATTACTTCTTGTTCATATACATCGAGGTTTTGTTCATCACGAGTCCCTTGATTTTTTGCTTGTATTTATTTGAATGCATTAAATTGTTATTTGGCATTTGTATTTTGATCTTGATTATGCATTTTAGGATTTAGGATTCAATTTCTTGTAGTTTAGTCCAAGTCATGTTTCATATTGTTCGTACAAGTCATGCACATTTGGTTAAAGTTATGTGCATTTCTATTCAAGTACAAGTCATCTGTGTTGCTCAAGTGAAGTGTTTTTGTTGTTCAAGTTCTATATATTTCAATCTGAATTTCGATAACATCTCGGCGTATCCACTGTTTGAGGAGAATGTAGAGAATCTAGGCCTTCCCACCATGCTAAAAAAGCGTGTATGGTATGTGACCATAAACATCGCGGTTGTGGTCTCTAATCCCACCACGCTACAAAAAACGTGTATGGAGTACATGTTGTCTGTTGTGTAGTACAAGTGCCCTGCTGTTCAATCTCTGTGTATTTTATTCTAAATTTCAGCAGCATCCTGGCAAATCCCCCGTTTGGGGGAAATGTAGGGAGTCTAAGCCTTCCCACCAGGCTAAGAAAAACGTGTATGGTAGGTTTCCTTAAACAACGCAGCCATAATCTTCAATCTCACCACGCTAAGAAAAGTATGTATGGGTCTCCATAGATACATGTTTAAAATGCATAGTGATTTCCCCGCAGGCACTGAGGTGCATACGGGTACATAAAATTATCCTCGTCATGCTAAGAAAAATGTGTGAAGGGTCTACCTGCCTCGTCGCATGTGTCGCACCTAATTTCCTCATACCATGCTAAGAAAAGCATTTATAGGTGGTTGCCCGACTCGTCACACATACCGAGGAAAGGATTTTGAGTTTGAGAGCTGCTTACCAACCACGTCGTAGGTGTCGCACCGAGTTTTCTCCTACCACACTACGAAAAACATGTAAAAGTAGTTGAGTCCTCTTCGAGAGTTGCTTACTACCTCGTCACAGGTGTCACACTAGATTTCCTCCTACATTTGTTAAGAAAAGTATGTATAGGTGGTTGACCGACGCATCACACACACCGAGGTAAGAGAGGAGTCCTCTTACTTTTTCTTTTCTTTTTAAATTAAATACAATTAAAATAATTAATTATGATTATTAATAATTAATTAGAATCAATTATAATTAGATTTAATTAATTATAATTAACATATGATTAAGTAATAATTAATTATAATTAAACTTAATTAATTATGATTAATAATAATTAATTTAATATAATTAATCAAAATTAAATTTAATTAATTATCACTAATTTATAATTAATACTAATTAATATAATTAAAAAATAAATAATTCTAATTAAATTAAATTAATTACAATTAACTTAAACAGATGATGTTAATGGGATTAGAGCAGGATTTAGGCGGGATTTGTTAAGGATTTATGCTAAATCCTGCCAAATGGAATTTGATCGACCCGTAAATCTCATGGCAGAATAAACCCTCCGTTTCCCATTGTTTACAGTAAATCCTGAATTTAATATCCCCGTTGTTTGGCAGATTTACCGGATCTGGGCGAAGAAGCACGCGATAGAGAGAAAGTTAGCTTCACATGAGCGAGCTCCCGTGTTGCTTTCAATACGACAAGAAGGGAACATCTTCAGAGGAGTGAAGTTGACCGGCAATGAAGAAGGCAGAGAAGCTCGCGTGAGAAGGAGAAATTTACTTCACAGCCAGCGAACTCGCATTGTTGTTTCTGATCAAATGTTGTAACTTCTGACTCGACTGGAAGAGAACATCGCCAAAGGGGCAAAGTCGATCAACAATGAAGGAGTCGAAGTCAAACAATAGCAAAGGAGTGAAGAAGCTTCAGCTGTGAGGGGGATTGTGAGTGGGGGAGAATAGAGCAAGAGGAAAAGCCTCGTTTCTTTCGTATTTAAGCGAGGTAGGACGATGCATCCAAAGCGAACGTGCGATTGGTGGCATTGACGTGCGAGCCTCGTGCGAAGAACGGCGGAGGACATCCGACTCGCAAGATTTCAGGGATTTGCGATTATGCGAGTCGGCGCCAGACAGGTATGCACGATTTCGCATTCTTTTTTTTTTTGTCATAGTTTACAGGTCAACATTGGGATGTAGTGAGTATAGCCCAACTGCTAAATTCTCCTTTTTTTAGGGTGTAATGCTTATAGCTAGACATTTTTTCTTCTTTCGATATTTATTTTGCTATGATAGATTTGTTTAATTTAATTTCAATCAGCACTAACTTTTAGTTTATTTATGTGTTATGAATGATCTAAATTCTCATTGGGCTCTTAGGTTAAATTTTTTTAACGTAATAGACTACTAATTTAAAATCAATAATAGAATTTGATTTCATAGAAAAGTTATTACATGGCTTCTCTCTGGCCAATCTTTTCAATATAAATATTTTTGCTTTTTATGTTTCTAAAAAAAATAGAAAGTAGTTTAGCTAGCTATATCATTCATAAAGTCAACATATATAATAGTTCATGATAACATCTAAACCCACATTTGCATGCACTTATTTAAACAAGTCATAATTTTACAAGTACCCCAAATTTGTATATGGATAAGTGATGCCGGAGCTGAGCTGATCAATCCTGTTTAACTTCAGACTAGTTTTAATTCCAATTGGTAGATATATGTCTGTATGGGAGTAGTACTTTCTTTTATGGCATGTAGCATTTTATGTTGCCTAGTTATCTATAAATACTTGTAGCAATTGCTTGTAATGGCAGCTTTTGGAGATATGAATAATATTTTAGTAATTTTACTCTTTTTTGGGTTTTTGTATCTTGAAGGATTTTAGGTGGTGATCCCTCTCCCAAGGAGTTCTTGGAGTTATACGGCCATCGGATCATTGATGTGGATTCGTCGAGCCCCGTCCGATCCGATGTCATTTGGTATCAGAGCCAACTAGTGCTTCTTGCTCTGTATCCTGAGAAGTCCTCAGGTGGTGAAGAGAAGAACCTAGCGGAAGAAGCCAAGTCGGAGGCCGTTCAAGGTCCGACGGGTTCAGCTCCGACATGAAACCGCAAGAAAGCACTAAAATTCTTGTTTACAGGACAGAAGGAATCGAGTCCATGGTGTTCTGAACAAGATACAATTCTTGTTCTAAGAAGGTCATAGCATGGTGGATGCCACTAACATGGCTTTAAGCCATTCTTTCCCTCTTGCAAACAGTAGTTTGTTGGAATTAGTACAAATATTGATTCGGTAAAGTAAAACAATATCTTGGCATGTTGTTGGGCTGATTCCATCTGCCCAAACCTGGTTCCAAATCTTCCAGCGTCTTATTGTATTGAGCCTCCTCGGTGAAGCCAGCGAGCTCCGTGCTAATTTGTCACCGATCGATCCCGAAACGGTAAACGGGAAGAAGAAGCTGAAGCGAAATACGTAAGAGGGGTAGTCAAAGGAGTCGATACGTGTTTGAATCAAATAATTCATCCCTACATCTCTTTTATCGAGGGCTGATCTGCCTTCATTCCAACTGTTTCTCACAAGTGCACCTTCAACCCATCCTTCGCCGACCGTCCTAGGCGGAGCATCTTTAGACACAGCAAGATTTCATCGAGTTCTCTGTTTCCTATAGCAGTCACAAGAATTTCAGCCACTGGATTCTTGGTGTTGTCTTCTTCAGACGATCGCCTCCTTTTCGCAGATAATTGCAGTCGTTTTCCTGTCAAATAATCAACTACCCAGCCATCTGCAGCCTCCATTTTTTTTTTTGTTCCTCCCATGCTGTTGTTTCAACCAAAATATATCTTTATATTGTTATATTTATAGTGCTCGTCCCTTCCACTCATGTAGAAAGCTGCACTCATGTAGAAAGCTGCAACCACTTGTTTTTCCTCCTCCCCAGCCCACGTATGATGCTATTCCAAGCACCAAGAACAGCATAGTTCCTGATTCTTTGTCAAGAAATTAGTAGCTAAAAGAGCAAGATGTGGCCTTGTTGGACTCGACAGCGACCACTTCAACGAGCAGTGATTGAAGACCTTCAACGAGAAATTTCCCAACTCCAACAGCAACTGTCAAGGCTCGAACGAAAAAAACACTTGAGCCCATTTGCCCGTGACATTGCTGTCCGACCACCGAGGATATATGCTCACAAGGCGGCATATAGATCCTCCATTCAGGCCGAATCCCTACGAACCAATGACAGAGATGATATCTTGGAAGATCAGAGTCCTTCCTATGAAGACATTTTTGAAGGGTCGCCCTGTAAGTCTTCCTCATCCTCGATCGAGTCCATCTTCGATGGGTTTAAGGATTTGTTGCCGAAATCGGCATCATTACCTATCTATGATGAGCCCTTGTATGACGTGTATGATGATGACATGTTCGGTAAAGTTCTTGATTTTGATAAGCCAATATATGATGATGATCAGAGCGAGCCGGATGTCCAGTAGGAACTATTCACTCCTAGTGTTCACAATAAGGCAATAAACTTGATCGTCATCACTAGTAAAAAATTTACAATTCAATATCTCTCAAATGGGTTGGATATTGAAGCTTCCACGTACTTCTCTAGGATGCTGAAAGAAACACAAATGATTTCAAATAATCTCACAATCACAAATGATCCATCCACTTGGGCTAAACTTGAGATATCGAAGGTTGGTAGACAAATGGACATTGGGTGGACCTATCCTGTCCGATTTAGCCAACCAAATCCACCTCCTTATGGTGGCCAACCAAACATATTCCTATGAGCCTGAAGTTCCTCCTACCCCGGTAGTATGATGCCAGAGCTGAGCTGATCAATCCTGATTAACTTCAGGTTAGTTTTAATTCCAATTGGTAGATATATGGCTGTATAGGAGTAGTACTTTCTTTTATGACATGTAGCCTTTTATGTTGCCTAGTTATCTATAAATACTTGTAGCAATTGCCAGTAATTGCAGCTTTTGGAGATATGAATAACATTTGAGTAATTTTACTCTTTTTGGGTTTCTGTATCCTAAAGGATTTCAGGTGGTGATCACTCTCCCAAGGAGTTCTTGGAGTTATACAGCCACCGGATCATCGACGAGGATTCATCGAACCCCCTCCGGTCCGGTGCCAATAAGCCAAATCTGTCCATATCCATCATGTTTAGACGCATGATATATGTCTATTGATTCCATATTTGTTCTCTTGACGCACCTTTTCTATCCAAAGCACTCTACAGTTGTATCTAGAAAAGATATGTAAAAAAGTTCCTTCATGTTGAGACGCACCATATCTGTATAACCAAACCATGCATCTAGTCTGAGCAAACCAATTCTGCTTAAATCATTTTCCTTATGGCTCAAATAGAAAAAAATCTGTTTAAGCATTTCCGATTGAATAAGTGAACCAAATTCACATGGCGTTTGCACGTCTCTCTTCAAGTGAGCCATATCCACTTGAGGAGTCCTGTGCATGAACTGGTCACATTTGCTAAGATATCCTTCACATATATTGCATTATAGTTTAATAAGCCACAGCTAGCAACACAAGTTTATGGGGTATGTAAGCATACAAATTTGCTTAAATACTCGCATCAATTTCAACTTAAATATCTACTTCATATGGAGACATTTATATTGTATCAGGTTGTTTGAGCATACCTTACTTATTCAAACACCCAAATCATCTCCCACTTGATTGTTTGGACCAACAAACCCGAACATCAATGAATGTTGGATGTTTGAGTGGATTATATCTTCTTAAGCATTCCTCACCCTCTTCATGCAATATTTTAAGTTCTTATAATCATATAAGCATACCAAATCTATATGTCCCTCATGAGTCTGCACCAACTTTGTGGTATGAGTTAGTCAAACTGAAGGGACTGGGTTAAAATGCCTAGGATGACTTGATATGATATAGTGATTAGCCATCATCAATGATACATAATTACATGACCATAATCATTACATCAATTTTAAGTTTCATATGATTGCTTTTAAGTAATAAAATCAACATATTAACATATGTTGAAATCCTAATATTTGGCAAACATAAGATTAACCTTATAATTAATCACTTTTCAAGTTAAAAATAAATTTTGAAAATTGTCTATATTATGAAATTTTTAAATGAATTTTAAAAATTATAAATTACATATTTCAAAATCATATTTTCAAAGCTAATGGGTCGAGGGGATGCAACCTTAATTTATTTGATATCTTATTATATATCACTTATGGGGATATTGTTAAAATTATATAAAAATAACCCAAATGATCACACGGATCAAAACGAATACTAAATATTGTGATAGGCATGGCCACAGAACTTCTGCTCTATGGCTAAGGTGTAACTAAGTTTTGTTGCATTGTTATGTGATGTTAGGGGTGTAAACGAGTCGAGTCGAGCTCGAGTCAGGGGGTGTTCGAGCTCGACTCGTGAGCCGAATATCGAGCTCGAACTCGAGTCGAGCTCAAAAGTCAAGCTCGAGCTCGACTCGCGATACTGTAACGAGCCATCGAGCTGCTCGTCTTGCTTTCCCGCCTGGCCTTTTGTTTTCCCGCACAGTTTTACCAATGGTATTATACAGCTACCAACAACAACATCATCAAGCCTTTATCCCACTACGTGGGGTCGGCATTATACAGCTACCGCATTCCAAAAAAAAAAAACAGTTATTGCATTGGGAGAAAAAAAAAGCTGCTGCAGCATTTATTATGCCTCTTATTATATTATTTGGAAGGACAAAAAGCTGCCAGCATTTGTTAGAATAGACATTTGAGAGAAGACTTTTTGAAATTTTTTGAATTTTTATATAAAGCTGCCCGTTTTGGTAGAAAAAAATTGACATCAAAATTTTTTTTTAAAAAAAAATTGGCTCAAAATATTATTTTCGAGCCGGCTCACGAGCTCAAGAGCCGAGCCGGCTCAAGCTCGAACTCGAGCTCGTTTACGAAACGAGCTTGAACTTGAGCTTGAGCTCAACTCGTGAGCTCGAGCTCGACTCGTGAGCTCGATAAGCTCGGCTCGCGAGCCTATAAACGAGTAGAGCTCGAGCCGGCTCGACTCACTTACACCCCTATGTGATGTATTGTACCACATGGTTGGTTATCTACAATATACTAGCTATAATTTTATATACTAAGATATAAATAAAGATAAAACTTTCAAAAGGTGTCATAATATACCGTGCCCAAAAAAGATTGATATTGCTTGGCAAAAAAATTGTGCTATGTCAAATTAAAATTCAAAGAGAATCTAAGAAGTACATGATGCCCTTTATAATCTTGTTTGTTTCATGTCTTTTTCTAATCAGGAAAGCCATATAAATAAGTACAGGTATAGGACAAATTCTCCACAACAAAATCGATAACCAAGGTGGAATGGATCAGAAGCAATTCAAAAACTTATACCTTATACTTATCATTTTTCTACATTAAATATTCTTGTATAGATTAAAGTCTGAGTAGTATTATGCAAGCCTTGGTTATATTATATTTTTCTTTTCCAGGATGAAATGTAAAACCCATAAACAACCAGCATTTTATATTCATTTGAATATTTGTATGCCCGTAATTGGTTTTGTCTTTATTGATTATGTGTTGTGTTTGATTGGATTCATGGAATCCAATAAAATTCTAGGGAAATTTAACTTTTTATGAGGTTAATGGAAATTTAAACAATCTAAAGTGCAATCATTTTAAAAATAAAATAAATGCATGGCCTCTCTAGACCACTGATTTCAAAATAAGTGGACACTACTTCGTATTATGTGAAGATATAATTTGTGATTTGACAATTGAGACGTTTCACAAAAGAGTCTTTAAACCAATAAGATTCTATTTGACTCATAATCATGAAATGAACTCAATAACCAGGTACATAGACAAAAGTTTATAATTAAAGATAGATAATATTATAATGTAAACATGTCTCCTAGGCTATTCTTGCTCTAGTTGATGCCTGACCTGACATTATTATAATAAACATACATAGGCAGAGGAAAGTTTAGTAATAATCATGATCCAGACGTGATTGTAAGACTATTCAGGCATTTTGATCTCGACACAAAAAAATTATCCTCTCCTCTCTCTTTGTCTCTCTTCGTATGCATCTTCCCCGAGCATGAAAAACTAAGCCCTACATTCTTGTAACTGCATAAAGAATGGAGATCCATGTTTCTTCTTTCACTAATGATTTACAATGTAACTCTAAATAAAGCAAATCATGTTGCAAACAAAAAACTTTATGTCAAGTTAGGACGACTACCATCTCGACTACATGGACTTAGAGCCTGACAACATGACAAGACTAATCCATGAAATCGTGCTCTTGTTGTATCATTCTTTTTGGATTACTTACACTCCTACCCATATTGAGTTCATTTTCTTGATATTATTTAAAAAAAACTTCCTTTTAAAATCTATGTTAAATGAAAATTGAAACAAAAGCAAAACAAATTAATTGAGAGTTTTTCTTTTAATCATGCTTAAGATGTATTTAACCATGGGAGCTTGCTCCTTATGGAATCCTTGACCCCTTCGATCAAATAAATCCTATTTCAATCATATAGTTTATTAGGAGAACTGCCTATAAAAAATAGATTTTGATCTATGTTTCATAGATCTCTAATGTTAAGTTGGATCGGTCTTTAAACACATTGATCTCCTTCCATAATTTTATCATGAGATTATGAAATAGATTTCAAAATAAAGAAAATCCCACAACAATGCTATTGTTAGCTATGCAATTTTTTTTTTCTAGTAATCTCAAATAATCATAAACCTCCTCCCTAATGATGTCAAATCCCACCCATAAACAAGAGGAAACACTCAATTTCATCCAAACATGTATATATTGTGTTACACATTAGTACTTGGAAAATTATTTGCCTAAATGTGGTTGCATCAAAATAATTAAGCCTTCTATAATGAGCTATCGAGGTAATAGGCTATACACATGAATCTAATGTGGTTGGAAGGGAGTTTAAAATCAAGGAAAAACACCACATTACTTTTTGCATTATTTATGATGTGGTCTCCCTTGATATCCATGTGGCTATGAGGTAGGAGTGGTTGAAAACTAGAAAGAGTGTGTTTAAATAGGCTTTTAAAAAAGTAGGATTTTGAGTAGACTTCCTATTTAACTTAGTTTTGCAAAAATTTATAATCAACTTACACCCTTTATAGAACAATGACACTATCTTGCCTAATATTATAGGAGTGGCAATCATTGATATTATTTTGATCAAGAGATATACAATCATCTCCCTACCAAACTACAAAATGATGTGTAGAGGACCATTGGCATATCAACAAAAAGATTCGAAGTGGTAATTTATATGAGATAATTTTCTTTGACTATTGAGGGCAACATTGGCATTGCTTGTGCAACTCTCCACAATTTCATTGATCGCAATGATGGAAATGATATATATTACAACATAAAAAAGAATTAGATTGATTAGGAAGATCAAGTCAACCATATGCAGGAAACAGTTGGGGTGAGATTTAAAGAGAAGCATTTCATCATGTGATAGTTCTAAATATACAGTATGCACATGAATAACATGTTCCTTGGATAGCATGAATAAAACATTGCTCGTATATAATATTACATCCGATTACATATTAATATATAGACTTATTCTCTAGTAATTCATCAGCGTTATTGTTCCAATAGATAACAAACAACCTTAATTTGCTGTCATAAAACAAGTTTGTTCTCAGATTTGTTATTTACATCTTACTATTTCTTCTTCATAATACACACTTCCAGTTTAAATTAGATTAGCTGTTGAGTTTTAGTCTAATATCTAATCATTATTTTCTAATATATTACATCTAATCATTGTTTTGTAATATCCTTTCAATTAGATATGTTGTATTATGTTTCCTTCAAAGGATAACGTCCTCGAGTTTACAACAGCTAAGAAGAATTCTACGCAATTGTAAGTGGGTAGTACTGTCGTGCAGACACCAATTAGGAGTGTATTATTTATATACATGGCATCTTGGAAGCAATGCGATGAATATCATTACAAATAAACAATGCAATCATGTGATTGATACAAGATAATTTACTTTTGTTTGTTGTGACTTTGTTGTATAATATGGTAGTTGACAAACATCATTTTTAATGTCTCTGGGAGATATACTCTTTATTGCATACTGTGATATTGGTTTTGAACAGCTCTCTTCCTCGTGAGAACTAAATAATTATTATTTTTAGATATTTAACTAATTTTTTGTTGGTATCAAAATCATTCACTATATTTATATGTTGTACATCTTATTATTGTCAACAGCATTAATTGATTTTCACATAAATTAAAGGGATTCACAATCATCTTACATTTAGGGAGAGTTTCTCGCAACTCTTTATGAAATATATTGATGCTAGTTTATCATATATGAAATTAAGGATAATGATGGAAAATCATCAACCTTTTCTTGCATTTATGTTAGCGCAAATTTCTCTAATTTTTTTTTAGATATATTGTAGCTCAATAGTACTTCTGACATCTAATACCCATTTAAATTATGACTTATAAAAATGATAGGCAAACAATCTATTGAGATTTATTTTGATTTAATAATTGCCATGCCGAACAATTTTCATGATTTAACAGCAAGATTTACAAAATATAGATTTATAGAATTTACTAAATTCTTAGCCCTACTTGTGATCAGGCAGTATCTAAGGGATTTTAAGTCGTAGGATTCAAGAATCTTACAAATTTTCTTACTCGCATCTAAAAAATTTTTAGGATTAAACATAAATTAAGGAAAATCATAACCATGATTAAACACTAGAGATTCTCAAGGCATACCAAACTACAATTTAAAAAATTTCTAAATTCCACTTTTATTTCTATCTGCTACCAAACATATACAATAAGCAAAACACTAAATTAGCAATATAAAAAACATTAAACATAATTTTTTACCTCTTGTAGCGGAGGTATTAACAATAAGACGCCCACTTTCAGCTATTCAACACCCTCCCCAACCCCTCCTGTGCCGAAATCAAAGATCCATCAACCTTCAGTGCATCCACAAACACCCCCTTTGCTTCCACCTTCAACCCTTTCTTCTCATAGCACTCCCCAAGCAAAACCTTGGCCTTTCCATTCTCCGGACAAAACCGCAAAACATCCTCCAGATCACCAATTGCCAGATCAACCCTCCTCTTAAGCTGTCCACCTCTACCACCCACAAGCGCTAGTTGAATCTCCGCACGCTTTAGGAGTGCATCAGCGCGGTCGCGATCCGAAAGGGACTTACTTGTAGGGGCAGAGAGTGCAGCATCGAGGGCACGAAGGGCAGGAAGGCGGTGCCCGTCAAAATCGAGGGCAAGAGCTTTGAGGATGAGAGGGGCGGCGTCGCGGGGATCGGCCGCGATGGCAAGGTCTGCTTCGGCAACGGCTGAGCGAGCTAAGGCGAGGGACGTGTACGGGGAAGAGTTGGCACGAGCGCGGGAGAGGAGCTGAGCGCCGCGGACGAAGTGGCGGTGGGATTCGGTGGTGGAGTGGCGGAGGTGGCGCAGTCGGGAGAGAGCTTGACGGGGTATTGAGCGAAGGTAGAGGAAGATAATGAGAGCGAAAGCTAGGGTTAGGGCTTGGACGGCTAGCTCCGTCGCCCCCATTGACGATGGCAACGAACCACGGGGAAGAAATGCGGATGCAAGGATTAGGGGCCTAGGGGGCGTGGGGAGGCCAAGTCCAATTACATAATAAGAAAATAGCTAAAGTAAAAAATAGTGAAAACAATTAGAAACTAAAAGGAAAACCTATAAAATTGAGCCAAGAACAAAAGCTCAACAAAAGGTGTAAAGAAACACTTGCAAAAAGTTAAGACAAGAAAGAAAACTAGCAAAAATGGAGAGCCACCAAGAGCTAGAAGGTTCAAAATAAACCAGTAGATCATAAGGCTCGGTAACAAAAATTGCATCTAACTAGCCAGCAAATTCCCAGGTTGCGAGAACTGTCATCAAAGAGATTATGTTGCAAAGAGCCACCATCCAAGAAAAGAGAGATGCAATTTGATCATCCTTAATTTGAAAAAGATTTGGGATGTTGCTCTTAAAACAATTTGCAAATTTCATTTCATTCCTTTCCCTCCAAATATAGTAGAGTGAGCACCATAAAAATAAAGTTTAGGGAAGTGTGATTAGCTCTTCCAATAATAAAATCCATAAATTGAAAAAGATTTGGGTGCATAAGGAACTCCTTTAAACTAGGCATGAGAGCTGAGATGATAGAGAAAGAAAATTCACACTCAAGAAATAGGTGTGAAGTACTTTCTAATTTTGATTTTCATAGGCAACAAGTATGATCATTAGCAATATTGATTTTAATAAGAGCATAAGTAGTTTTTAGACCACCAACCAAACAAAGCTAGCCAAAAATAGAAAACCTAAGAGCATAATGTTTTATGCCAGAATGCTGAATGCCAAGGCACCAAAATATCCTCATTATAATAATCTTAAATAAAATACTGAAAACCACCTTCTTTACTCGAATTCCAAATCTAACAGCATTTACTAACGTCAATGTGGATATGAATAGAAAGAATCTTATCACTAATATCCTTGTGACATGAGATTGGCAACCTCCAACCAACAAAATAAAAAATTGCATTAGGCGAGCATCAGGTGGAAAAGAAACAGTGGGAGATTCATGATGAGGGACCTCATTATGGGATAAACTGTTGCAAATCTAGGCCCAAGGTATATGTTTTTTATGATAAAAAATATTATTATTTCTTTACTACTACTTTTCTTGTATATATGTTTTGTTTCCCTTGTTGACTAACCTTTCAGGTCCACTTCACTTGTAATAAAAACTAGCTCATGATAGGGTAGTCTAGGATTGAGTCAGTATGCATTTTCACTTTAATATATATTTTGCCTTTCTTGAGTCAAATCCTAAGTATGGTGGACACCAAGCTAAGTAACCTTGCACACATACACTCAAGGAGAGAAATTTGATGAGTTAGAGACTTTTTCTATTTTTTACTATATCATACATGACGATAATAGATCGTCCTAGATGATCTATTTTAAAAACATAAACTTAAATTAGGGCATCCGACTAATTACATGTGATTAAACTAATCGCATTGGATGATCCATATCATCCAAGATGATCAGCTAAAAAGATGAAAATAGCCTCCAATCATAATTTAGGTAATGTTTAAAGTTTCAAATTTTGTTTTAATCGTACATGATGATGTGCATCATCCTGGACGATTTTGACAATCATAACTAAATTGATCCGATGATTTTGAGAGTAATTATGGTTAAATTGATCCATCAAATCATACATGATGATTTATATGGATTATACTGGACGATTTAGTCGAAAAATCATAACTTTACTCTAATTGTCTGAAAGGATCATCTTGGACTTCCTGAGATGTTTTTGGGGTGATATGGAGATCGCCACACATCGTTCAATGTCGTACTGGATGATCAATATGGTATATTGAACTAATCGTCCTAGAAGATAGCAAGATTGTACTGGATGATCTATACAAATACTTGTACTGATCATATAGACAGTCATTCTGGCTGATAGATATGTTTTGTACTAATCATACAAGATGATCTATATATCATTCTAGATGAATAGTTGCATAGAATTAAAAATTAGGGCTTTTTTTAGAGGCTCTCTATTTAAGCAATGGTATTAACCTTTGTGTTAATCTTTTGTTATGAAGTTGATCCAAGGGGGAGCTTAGAAAAGGAAGAAGAAGAGCCTCAGAGAGATATCCTTGTGAGGGAGAGATTATGAGGGAATCTTAAAGGTTACTTTGTGCAAGGTATTTGTCATATTCTTTGAGTTACTCTGCTGGTTTCTTTGTAGCTCCGGGGAGATCGTCTTTAGTATTAGATCAAGGTTCTCTGTCTACTTATGAGGGAGTAAATGGATTCCCAAGTTCTCGGCCTACTACTCTAGGAGGGAGTAAAAAGGATTCAAGATTCTCTGCCTCACCTTATCGGTGAAAAAAATTTTTAAAGGCTTCTTCGCCTTGGTATGGGAGCAAAAGGAGAGTCACTTCAATTTAGTGCAAAACTTGGAGAGGGAGTCTCCAAGGAGTGGACGTATGTCAGATTTGACAGAATCACAATAAAACTCGGTGTGTTCTTTCTTATTATTTTCATCACATTTTTTCAACACTTTTTTCTATGATTTGTTCTGATATTGAAATATCTATCATATTGTGATTATGAAAATTATTTTTTCTTCTGCATCAAGAGTTATTATTTTATTTTGAAATATTTAAAAAGATTAAAAAGATTTTTTTTGTTTAAAATTTTTTAAAGCTACTAATTCACCCCCCTCCCCTCCTTTTGGTTAACCTCAGGCTAGTTCTTTAAGATTTAACACCTCTGACAAATTTTTAAGTTGTATCCGAGCCGGATTCATAAAATCAAATTTTAGAAAACTTTTGAATTTTGATCCATGACTAACTTTGGAAATAGAAACATAATGGAAGGGTATTCAATTACTAGATCACCTCTTTTTGATAATGTATCATTTGAGTTTTAGAAAACTTGCATGTCCACTTTTTTTGCATTCAATTGATTATCGTATATGGATGCTTGTTAAGGAATGTTATTCTACACATTTTAAATTTATAAATGGTGTTAAAACTAAAATTCCTTTTGTTGATTGGAATACTGATGATAGAGATCTAGCATAACTAAATACTAAGTACTTGAACTATTTTTTCTATGCCTTAAATTCTGAAGATTATTTATGTGTTTCCACTTATTCCATTAGAAAAGAAATTTGGGATAGATTATGTATAACATATGAATGTACAAATGAAGTTAAATAATCTAGACTAAATATTCTTTTACATGATTACAAACTTTTTTGCATGAAACCTAACGAATCTATTTCTGATATATTTATTAAGTTTACATAAATTGTTACATCCATGCATGCCTTAGGAAGAGAACTAACAAACTATGAAAAAGTTAATAAGATTTTTAGATGTTTACCTTCTTCCTTTGATGCGAAATTTACTATCATTATTGAATCAAAAGACTTGAATGTTTATTCAATCGATAACTTACTTAGATCACTAATTGCTTATGAGCAAGGAGTGAACCAAAGGCAGCTTGACATAGGTGAGAAGAAAAAGGAGAAAAATGTAGCCTTAAAGGCTAATGATTCTAACACTGATTCCTCTAGTTCGGAAAATAATGATGTTGCTTTAATTACTAGGTAATTCAAGAGCTTATTAACGAAAAAGCAAAAGCATCATCAGAAATGGAACAAAGGTAAAAACCATAAGAATTCTAAAGTTTCTTTTGATTTTATTTTTTTGAATGCAAGAAGCCAAGGCATCTGAAGTCTGATTGCTAGACTCTTAAAGCTCACCCAAGCAATGGGAGGGGTGAGGAAAAACCTAAGTTTAAAAATGACAAGAAAAGGATTGAAAAGGCTTTTTGGGTAGACTTGGCATCAAACTCCTCTAAAACTAAAGCTAAAGAGGATGTAACAAACCTATGTTTATTTTTTTATAAACATCTTGATCATTTTGATCAAGAAGAAATATGTAAGCTTACTTACGATCAATTGTTTAAAGTTTTTGAAAAAATTCATGCTTCATATAGAAAGCTCAAGATACTACATGTTAGTCTTAAAACTGATTTTTTTAACTTTGTAAAAAGAGCATGAGTGCCTGAGAAAATATCATTCCACATTAGATAGCAATCATATAAGTTTACTTGATAAATTTGATGAATTGAATAAAAAGCATCTTGATTTAATAAATGAGCATGATTCCTTAAAAAGTTTACATGTTGAGCTAGAAAAAGCATATAATGACTTAGATACTCTCGCAACAGATTTAAATAGGTAGGAGCATGCTTTAAAAATAGAAAATTTAATTCTTAAAAATACAAATAAGTTTTTAGAAGCTAAATTAACTACTTTCAAAGAAAATAAAAACCACCCATAATATTTGAGTTTCACAATCCATCAGATCAGCATGCATCATTCAAACCTAGGAAGGGGCACTATAACCCGAGTAAATTAGTAAACCCTTTTCTTGGTGTTAGATAATTTTGCTTGTGGCATGTTAGGACATATCTCCCACACATGCACCATTCACTATATAATACATTTAGTATGGAGACCTAAAGTTTAAAATTCACAGCATAACATGCATGTATTTCATCCTGATTAAGGCAACTATCATTAAGTACACCATCCTAGAAGATATTCCTATCGACCGGGATGATAGGCTCAAATAAGAAAAAATCAGTCGCCATATCTATTTAGGTATTATTTATTTTTGGATATTGTCCAGGACATCAGTCTGGATGATGCAGCACAATTATGCCTAAATTAATCTGGTAATTAAGGAAAGTAATTAAGGATTGATTGCACAATCACATCAGCCAAGATGATTGCAGGATCGTTTGGGATGATCACTTGGATGATTGACATTGGCCAGCTTCTATTCATGGTGATGTTTAGGATGATTTTCCTCATATTTGTACTAACTGTCCAGGATGATATTTTATCGGTCTGGACGATATGACAAAAAATCTTCTGATCATTCCAAACTGACTAGGCTGATTGAGCGAAATTTACGCTGATCGGCCAGGAAGATATCCACATCATCGTGGATAATAATATCAGTTTATATAAAATAGGAGCTATTCTAGAACTCCTCTATTTAAAAGCTCTTATTCTACCAAAGAGAT